TTAATGTGGCTTTGTCACCGGAGGGCTTTAAGGGGAATGTTAGGCAATCGGTTTTTAAACGGGTTTGTCAGTAGGCTTTCTACAGAGCCCGACTGGAACACGGTGGTCCTCACGGGAGCTTTCAGGGGTGAAGGGGGGTGTTGAGTGTGTAGTTCACTGCGGCGCTTATTAGGGTTTATAGAAAGGTGTTTATAAGGAGTTTCGATTCGGTACGGAGGCTTTTGACACGAGGTGGTTTAAGTTCAGAGAAGGTTGTAGGATTCTAGAGTGGGTTTGAGGGTTTAGCAGGTGGGGGTATTACAAGAGGGTTTAATCGACTATGTGATGGGGTTTTCGAAGGGTGTATTGCGTTTAAACTGGTGGTTAAGATTAACGGGGGTCTTAAGGCAGTGGTGCTGCGGTTTAAGTGGATATCGTTCCAGGAGGATTTAGATGAGGATTGTGGTATACTCGCGCAGCTCTTTAAGAGGGGACGCTGTCTCAGGGTTTAGGGTGTAAAAACTGGAGGGTCTGTGTGAAAGGGTGTAAGCTTTTGGTAGCGGCTTTGAGAGGTGGCTTCAAGGTGTTGGTTTAGGGTTTAGGGTTTGGGTTTTAGGGTTTTAGGGTTTTATGGTTTACGGGTAAAAAAATATAGAGTGGCGGACTGCCTTATTAATCGGTTGTATAGGGGAGTGTTTAGTCGTGTTTCGTCACTGTTGGGAACGTAAAGCGTTAGCTCGTGACGGAGGTTTTTTAAGGCGGTTATTACGTGTGGTTTAGCGAGTATATCTTATGTGGTGTTTTGAGGGTTTAGGTGCAGGTGCGGGGTCATTGGATGGGGTTGCGTAGCGGGTCTCTTGACTGTGGGGCTGTTTGAACGTATGGAGATTTTATAATTCTAACGAGTGAGGGGTATATAGGGGTTGTTCCTAAAGTGACCTGTTTGGAAAGGTCGCTCCTTCCATACCATGGTCTTTGGCTAGGTTGTAGCGGAGTGTTTTGATGGCCGCGTATGTGATTGAGAGGGAGTATTTAGCGTTGGTTGATGGTTAGGTCAGGGCGGATGTCTTACTGGTTTGGATTATGGGTGGTTTGAGAGAGCTAGTGATTGTGTTAAAGGGTTGTTATAAAGCGCGTCGAATGTTGTAATCGCGCCAAGAGTGTTTAATAGAAGAGTAGGTGTGGTAGCTGTGGAGTTTTTCAAACACGCCGCCAGGTATTTCGAAGGGCAAGTGGGTAATAAATAAATGAAGGCGTTATTTATCGGCCTCTCAGAAAGTTGTCCAAGGAGTTGTTTACGGGTTAGTACGCGGTGGTCTTAATCCAGGGGCGTGTTTGCACCGCGGTTCCAAAAAAGGTGTCCTCACGCGGAGTGATAGTATATTTCTGAAGGGTGTAATTACAGGCGCGAATAAATCTAGAGGGTGTAGGGTTTAGGGGTTAGGGTTTAGGGTTTGGGTTTAAGGGTTTAGGGTTTAGGGTTTGAGGGGTTAGTAGGAGGCTTTAAAGCGCTTTGTCTCGTGGGGTCCAGGGGTTTAAGGGTCATGATATGGTGGTTAGGTAGCTCTTTGAGGGCGTCAAGTGTGATTAGCCGTGTTAGTAGAAACGGTGTGTTATTAGGAGTTGTTTAAGGGTCTTAAAGGGCGCGTTTGGAGGGTGCTGGTTAGGCCCGCATCTCAAGGGTTCCTATAAGATGTTTGAGAGGGGTGCTTAGGTGGGAGTTTCCCGTACGGTATTAGAGTGGTGTTATGGCAGGGTCGGGATTTGGTAGAGTCGTTAGACTGCAGGGTTAGTTGGGGACGCGCTTATAGGTGTTGGTGTAGCAGGGCTGAGTTTATTATGGGGTTCAGTTTCTGAGAAGACGGGATCTTAAGCGGTTTCAGAGGGGAGGTGGTTGCACGGGGGGATTGATTAGGGTAGATAGTTGGTATGTTGAGAGAGGAGCCTTGGTCGGGGTGTATATCAGGCGACGCGCCAGGGTGTGGTAGCGGCTCTAGACGCCCGTTCTCAAGTGGCACGTGACTCAATTAGTAGGGGTGTTTTTATACCAGCTCGGGAACGGTGTCTAGTACGAGTGTCATGAGGGATTTAAGGAGAGTGTGTTAGGAAGTGGTTCTCTTTACACGGGCTTTTCACGCATTGTTTCCTTTTTGACGAGGGCTCCGATTTAGAGGAAGTTCTAGGGGGAAATAACGAGGGGCGGGGCTGACGATGAGGAGTTTGTGAAAGGTTTCAAAGGGGCAGTCTTATGCACGGTATGGGTTTAGAGGTCGCGTGTGTACGGGGTCTGTGTAGGTGGAGTTGGGATTAGTTGACAGGAATTTACGATAGGTGACGTTTGTTATGAGTGAAGATGTACGGTAGCTCGGTAACAAGTTATCGAAATTTGTTTATTTTTTAAAGTGGGGATCTTAAAGGAGGGGGGCTGTCTGCCACCAAGGTGCAGTTTATGGGCAAGCTTTTATACAGGGCGTGTGAATGGAAGGTGGGGGTAGTGAATTTAGGATTACGGCGAGCTAGGTGTGTTAAGGAAAGGCTGTGATCAGGCATGGTTTAGGGTTCTTAGGGTTTAGGGTTTAGTGGT